TTCATTTTCTGTTTGTTCACATCTCTTTCTCCATTTTCCAAATTTTACTTATTCAAGTCTTTAATCTTCTTTTATTTCAAATCAAGTACAGCCCGATACATTGCATCACATAATCAAAAGCAAAGGCTGAACTTTATTAATCTGAAGTCCATTCCAGAAAATGGTATATTTCATTCATTGATTCATCAATTCTTTTGTACAAAACCTTTCCATATGTAACCCTGGTACTACTTCTTCTATATCACAATTGACATTGTCTTATGTACTACAAACCCTTTGAAGAAAATCTTTTAAACGAGAAATAATTAAAAACAGTTTCACATTGTACCGACTTAATGGTGTTTGTTACAACATTCATAACTTTACTTTGAAAGAATCAATATAGGAGCCAGCGCATTATGGTAGAAAACGCATCATCATTATTTACCGGTAGTTTAAATATTTACTCGCACACATGGCCATTATAGCTTCAGTTGTTCTAATACTAATTAAACGCGTTTTTAAGTTCACAGCAGGTTTAACACCTTTTTCGTGGTGTTTATACACGACTATTTTTAGGTCAGCTCTGTGTCTTTTTTTCATTTTAAAACTGATTTCATTTATAAACTTTTCAATGTATATAGTATATCTACCCATTGTACAGGGTGGCCCATTTTCGATGTTTTAATAGGCTATATCGAAAACCAGCAGAGATATCAAAAATCTGGGAGCACATTCTCGAGCTCTTTTTTTGAAAAAATAACAATGGCGAAGACAAATCACGGCTAACTTGATGGGTTTAGGAAATACAGGGCACTTTTCAAATTTTGTCCAACTTTAAAAGACTCTCTAATTTCCTTATTTTTCAAGATATCCAAAAACGAAAAATACTTTCTATAGGCAGTTTTTCAAGGAGAATCCAGTGGCATGACCAATTTTTTTTCCAGATGCCACCGATTTTGGAATATTGACCGAAGTTGTGTTTTTTTAAATGGGACACCCTGTATATTATTTTTTCATTGAATAGCTCTTTGTGAGCTGATTTCAATGATATAAGGTTTTATACCTATACCTTCTATAGTTTTGGAGAAAAAAAAATTAATTTCGTTTTTCCATAAGAAACAACAAACAAACTTAAGTTAGCCGTGATTTGTCTTCGCCATTGTTATTTTCTCAAAAAAAGAGCTCGAGAATGTACTCCCAGATTTTTGATATCTCCGCTGGTTTTCGATATAGCCTATTAAAACATCGAAAATGGGCCACCCTGTACTTACAAAAAGTATATTTATATGGATAATTTCAAAAGACTAAGTCCCGACAAGTTACATGTGACTTGAGGTAGGTACTGACAGTTCTAATGTTATACTAGGTTCTTATAAAAAAGGCATAAGTATAAGTTTGAGTTTAGCATAGTTTTTTACAAACACTTTATTGTATGTATATAACGGTTTCTTTGCTTATTACATGTATACTTATAAGCCATTCTGTAATATATTTTCAATAAATCTTCAATCTGTGAAGCAACAGCTAAAGGGCAAAATTCCAACCTAATGTGGTTTTAATAACAACTGCCGAATTAACTTTTCTTTACATTTAATGTGTGGTCCAATGTATCAATCTTCTTATTAAAAGTTGTATTTATTTTGTAACATACGTATGTATTAAAAAGGGATTCACAAGACGTTCTTAAAACATCTCGTTATGATTAGGATAATGTCGTCTTAAAATGTCGTTTGTGGGCATTTCAAGCTTCGGACAGATTTGAACATTAATCCGAACAATGAACAGAACGACAATCGAAACACTACTTTACACGGGGCTACGAACGTGTTTGTAAACTGGTTCGCAAACCCTAGTCGTTCGGCGAACGGTTTGCGGCGCTCCGATCACTTGTTTATTTTTTCTCCGACATCAAAGAAAATGCAAGTTTGGACGGGCCAGAAAAAAAAAATTACTGAAAACATTTGTGGGAACAGCACCAACGTTCGGTTTGTGGTTCGGATCGTCGAAATCGAAAAAGGCCGTTTGTGTTTCCTGTGCTGTTCGATTCGTTTTTCTGTTTGTTTTTTGACGTAAAGCTCCGTACAGACCTGAACATTACGCCGAACAACAAACAGAACAAAGAAACACTAATGTGGATGGGACCTAAGCTCCGAACAACCAGGATTTACGAATCTGCGAACTTATTATTCACAAGCTCCGTCCACATTAGTATTTCCTTCATCATTCTTTAAGCTTTGAGCTTCATACAGACCTGAACATTACGCCGAACAGCAAACAGAACAACGAACCGAACAGCGAACAGAACGGCCTTTTTAGATTTCGATGATCGGAACCTCAAACGTAAACAGGAATGAATTCATTGTCCTGTCGAATAGTACAATGAAGTATTGGTCAATCCATGGCCAACTTGATAACATATTGTTCCAGAAAGTCCCTTCTCACTCTCACTGATTAGAAAAGGAGGGCCGATGACAAACTGTCAATCCAACAAATAATACAGATTTCTTTCCATTCAATATTTGTCTATTCCCGGCTCTTGAAGTTGACTGTCAATGGTCACTTCTGTCAAATTGTACAATGAAGTATTGGTCAAATAATTATGCATGTGTCAATCCATGGCCAACTTGATACCTAACATATTTTTCCAGAAAGTCCCTTGTCACTCTCACTGATTAGAAAAGGAGGGGCAATGACAAACTGTCAATTCAACAAATAATACAGATTTCTTTCATATTCAATATTTGTCTGTTTCCGGCTCTTGAAGTTGACTGTCAATGGTCACTTCTGTCAAATTGTACAATGAAGTATTGGTCAAATATTTATGCATGTGTCAATCCATGGCCAACTTGATAACATATTTTTCCAGAAAGTCCCTTGTCTATCTCATTGATTAGAAAAAGAGGGCCGATGACAAACTGTCAATTCAACAAATAATACAGATTTCTTTCCATTCAATTTTTGTCTATTCCCGGCTCTTGAAGTTGACTGTTATGGTGACTTCTGTCAAATTGTACAATGAAGTATTGGTCAAATAATTATGCATGTGTCATGGCCGCTTCCACCAACTATTTTAGGGGAGCCTTAACTATAAGTATTCCTTAAACTGACATTTCTCCATGTAAAAATGTCAGTTTAGGGAATACTTATCCTTAGGGCTCCCCTAAAATCGTTGGTGGAAACGGCCATCAATCCAGTGAAAGTTAGGGAAAATTGGAGAATTCAAAATTTAGGCCCTGGGCGGGATTCGAACCTGCGTTCTCAGCATTACCGGTGCTACGCTCTAACCAACTAAGCCACCATGACCCTACAGATTTATTTGATTTATGTTTGGTGTTGTTAGAGGAAGTTGCGTTGTTAGGAGAACAATGCATTTCATCAGAGAGGAGAACCAGAAGGTGAGGTTCTCCTCTCTGATAAAAAACTCTCAAGCAAAGTACCAGAAAGAGTTAAGCGAATTATAAAAATGTCTCCCCATAGCTTGAAAAAAGACTTAAAATAACCATGAGCTCGAGGACATGGATTAATGAAACGGATACATCTGAAATTTCCAGAAAACAGGCATTAACTCGCTTGTCCAGAATTTGCAATAGGAGGTAAGAAAGAATACCAAGAAACATTGTTTATGTATAGGTACGTCTTCTCTCCCTAGAGTGAAAATAAAAGCATATTTTTTTTGAATACGAAAACAACATTTGCTTTGTTCTCCTCATGCTCCCCTTGCAAATTTTCTTTTTTATATGAAACCAGGCTCAAGTAAAATTACGTTATTACAATAGAGCAAGTCTCATTTTAAGGAATGAGGATAGCTAATAGGATAATAAATGATTCTAGCTTTTCCAACTTAAAACTAAATTATCGCAATAAATACTCAGCCTTATATCAACTAATGATTGCAAATGAGCCTTGGCGCAATAATCTACTTAAACTAGTACTTACCGACAGACGGTACCCTTTTTTTTGTAACTGATGGTGCCGTTATAGAGTACTCGCAAAGATATTTTTAGTTCTCGCCTGGTTTCTATCCTCGCATTTGAATAAGATGGCCATTAGCGAATCGAGAGTGCCTTTCAATGGTTATAGAAACTGGATAATTTACGAGTTTACTTAAGTACTTTGCGCGAAAATACAATCAAATTCAAAAACAAGGTGTGGATCTATGAAACTCGAAAACCGAAGCGATTATAAATAAAGCGTATCGTGGCCATCAGGACCCCCAATGGCTTTAGTGGCATGCCGAAAGATCTACTTCACTTGGACAGCTGACAGAGCTAGACAATACCCATTTTTGTGGTTGAATAACATTGATTTTATTGTTATAGGTTAATGCTATTTTTTTCTTCAATATAATAAATTCTTCTCTCATCCCCCAACATCTTAATCATACATATTAATAAAATCATTATACGCTCGTTATAAATACATGGCAGGTTTTCCTTATCTAATTAAATATACGTAAATATGCAGGACGATAAAGACAAAAAGCTGAAATCCGAGAAGGGCTATAGAAGAGAGCCGACAGGTTCAGGTATGTCTTCAAGGGTCCTAGATCCTAGATAAGGTTTTTATAAATTATTGTACGTGTCACAAGTGCTAATAGTGTTTGGGACATAGAAATTATGACCCTTTGGTTGAAAAACAATGATTAAAATCGGCAAACCTAACACTAGTTATTAATTAGTCACCGTAAATCACTCGCGGAATCAAAAAGCTCAGATCAGTATGACCTTTTGCGTGATTTTTTCCAATTCGCACCATACACTTAACGCTAAGTAATGACTCTCTTAACACATACCAGTAATGATATTCCCCTTTCGCTTTTAACGTTTTAAAGGCACGCTAATGGCAGCTGCAAAGTCTACCTATTCTCTTATAATAAGTACTCATTAACATACTATTAAGTAGGTATTTTGTTGTTTCAGTTGTTGTCAATTGCTTTTGTCAACATTTAAGTATGTATGTGTTGTTTTTATTAGGATGAGTGTGTCAACAATATACAAGATGTTTTTTTCTTTGCTCACCTTTCATCACAGTTACAGTGCATTAGAGTATTCAGCCTCCAATTGAACAAGCCGTATTTCGTATCAAAACCGCCGATCCAAAATGGACAAGATAAGTCGTGTTTTCTACAACATCTGGAATAAAAAAGATCATATTGTATAAAATTTTTGGGTTTTGTATAAAGTTCTAACCTGTCGGTTTTTGAAAATACTCCCAATCTGGTGTACTTGTCAGCTGAATATCCTTTGCCGCACCATTTGGTTCCTGGTACTCTGAATATGTCTGAGACGTCTCTTTTGGATCTGGAATGAAATTGTGAAATGTTAACTCTCAAAAGACAAAGTATATACTACCTAAGTGGTACCATGAGCGGAAGAAATTAAGTCTATATGTTCGAGAGATTGCAATGAATATAAAAGAGAAGTTGTTCAAGAAGTAAAGAAGTTTTTTTGTACGAAACAGAAAACCTAATTTTTGAGAAAATGTCTGGCTGCGCCACTGGAACATTGACTCTAAGGCAGAAATATCAGTGTGTTTTATCGGATTGTAAAAATCATAGCTCCGTTATCCTGAGATATTTTTCCATAAAATTTTAGTATCTTGAAGCTGAAAGCTTCTTTTATAAATGAAAAAATATTTAAATCCTCCAAGTTTCCCAGATTTCTAGAAAAAAAATCCAAAATTATACCATTGAGTCTAAGGCAGAAATATCACTCAGTGTGTTTTATCGGATTGTAAAAATCATAGCTCCGTTTATCTTCATAGCTATTTTTCCATAAAATTTTAGTATGTTGAAGCTAAAAGCATATTCAATAAATTAAAAAATATTTGTTTCCTCCAGGCTTCCCAGATTTCCAGAAAAAAATCAAAAATTAGACCATTGACTCTAAGGCAGAAATATCACTCAATCTGTTTTATCGGATTGTAAAAATCATAACTCTGTTATCCTGGGTTAGTTTTCCATAAAATTTTAGTATGTTGAAGCTGAAAGCTTCTTTTATATATAAAAAAATATTTAAATCCTCCAAGTTTCCCAGATTTCCAGAAAAAAAATTAGACCATTGAGACAGGCAGAAATATCACTCAGTGTGTTTATCGGATTCTAAAAATCATAGCTCCGTTATGTTGGGCTATTTTTCCATAAAATTTTAGTATGTTGAAGCTGAAAGCTTCTCTAATAAATAAAAAAATATTTAGTTCCACCAGGTTTTACCCAGATTTCTCTAAAAAAATCAAAAATTAGACTATTGAGTCTAAGGCAGAAATATCATTTAGTGTATTTTATCGGATTGTAAAAATCATAGCTCTGTTATCCTGGGTTACTTTTCCATAAAATTTCAGTATGTTGAAGCTGAAAACTTTTTTTATAAATAAAAAAATATTTAAATCCTCCAAGTTTCCCAGATTTCCAGAAAAAAAAATCCAAAATTAGATCATTGACTCTGAGGCAGAAATATCACCAAGTATGATTTATCGGATTGTAAAAATCATAGCTCCGTTATTCTGGGTTATTTTTTCATAAAATTTAAGTATGTTGAAGCTGAAAGCTTCTTTAATAAACAAAAAAATATTTGGTTCCACCAGGTTTCCCAGATTTCCCGAAAAAATATCAAAAATTAGACTATTGACTCCAAGGCAGAAATATCACTCAGTGTGTTTATCGGATTGTAAAAATCATAGCTCTGTTATGTTGAACTATTTTTCCATAAAATTTTGGTAAGTTGAAGCTGAAAGCTTTCTTAATAAATAGAAAAATATTTGGTTTCACCAGGTTTCCCAGATTTCCCGAAAAAAAATCAAAAGTTAGACTATTGACTCTAAGGCAGAAATATCACTCAGTGTGTTTCATCCTATTGTAAAAATCATAGCTCTGTTATCCTGAGCTAGTTTCCCATAAAATGTCGGTATGTTGAAGCTGAAAGCTTCTTTTATAAACAAAAAATATATAAATCCACCAAGTTTCCCAGATTTCCAGAAAAAAAATCAAAAATTAGACCATTGAGTCTAAGGCAGAAATATCACTCAGTGTGTTTATCGGATTGTAAAAATCATAGCTCCGTTTATCTTCATAGCTATTTTTCCATAAAATTTTAGTATGTTAAAGCTAAAAGCTTATTCAATAAATTAAAAAATATTTGTTTCCTCCAGGCTTCCCAGATTTCCAGAAAAAAAAATCCAAAATTAGATCATTGACTCTGAGGCAGAAATATCACCAAGTATGATTTATCGGATTGTAAAAATCATAGCTCCGTTATTCTGGGTTATTTTTTCATAAAATTTAAGTATGTTGAAGCTGAAAGCTTCTTTAATAAACAAAAAAATATTTGGTTCCACCAGGTTTCCCAGATTTCCCGAAAAAAAAAACAAAAATTAGACTATTGACTCTAAGGCAGAAATATCACTCAGTGTGTTTTATCGGATTGTAAAAATCATAGCTCCGTTATCCTGGGGTATTTTCCCATGAAATTTTGGCATGTTGACGCTGAAAGCTTTCTCAATAAATGAAAAAATATCTGGATCCTCCAGGTTTCCCAGATTTCCAGAAAAAAATCAAAAATTAGACCATTGACTATAAGGCAGAATTATCACTCGGTGTATTTTATCGGATTGTAAAAATCACAGCTCCGTTATCCTGGGCTACTTTTCCATAAAATTTTAGTATGTTGAAGCTAAAAGCTTCCTCAATGAATGAAGAAATATCTCCAGGTTTCTCGGACTCCCAGAAAAAAAATCCAAAATTAGATCATTGACTCTAAGGCAGAAATATCACCAAGTATGATTTATCGGATTGTGAAAATCATAGCTCCGTTATTCTGGGTTATTTTTTCATAAAATTTAAGTATTTTGAAGCTTAAAGCTTCTTTAATCAAAAAAAAAAATATTTGGTTCCTCCAGGTTTCCCAGATATCCAGAAAAAAATCAGAAATTAGATCATTGACTCTAAGGCAGAAATATCACTCAGTGTGTTTTATCAGATTGTAAAATTCATAGCTCCGTTATGCTAGGCTATTTTTCCATAAAATTTTAGTATGTTGAAGCTGAAAGTTTCTTTATTTAAAGAAAATAAATTTGGTTTCTTCAAGTTTTCCAGATTTCCATAAAAAAAATCAAAAATTAAACCATTGACTTTAAGACAGAAATATCACTCAGTGTGTTTATCGGATTGTAAAAATCATAGCTCTGTTATGTTGAACTATTTTTCCATAAAATTTTGGTAAGTTGAAGCTGAAAGCTTTTTTAATAAATAGAAAAATATTTGGTTCCACCAGGTTTCCCAGATTTCCTGAAAAAAAATCAAAAATTAGACTATTGACTCTAAGGCAGAAATATCACTCAGTGTGTTTTATCGGATTGTAAAAATCATAGCTCTGTTATCCTGGGTTAGTTTTCGATAAAATTTTAGTATGTTGAAGCTGAAAGCTTCTTTTATAAATAAAAAAATATTTAAATCCTCCAAGTTTCCCAGATTTCTAGAAAAAAAATCAAAAATTAGACCATTGAGTCTAAGGCAAAAATAGCACTCAGTGTGTTTATCGGATTGCAAAAATCATAGCTCCGTTATGTTGGGCTATTTTGCCATAAAATTTTGGTAAGTTGAAGCTGAAAGCTTTCTTAATGAATAAAAAAATATTTGGTTCCACCAGGTTTCCCAGATTTCCCGAAAAAAAATAAAAAATTAGACAATTGACTCTAAGGCAGAAATATCACTCAGTGTGTTTTATCGGATTGTAAAAATCATAGCTCTGTTATCCTGGGTTCGTTTTCAATAAAATTTTAGTATGTTGAAGCTGAAAGCTTCTTTTATAAATGAAAAAATATTTAAATTTTCCAAGTTTCCCAGATTTCTAGAAAAAATATCCAAAATTAGACCATTGAGTCTAAGGCAAAAATAGCACTCAGTGTGTTTATCGGATTGCAAAAATCATAGCTCCGTTATGTTGGGCTATTTTGCCATAAAATTTTGGTAAGTTGAAGCTGAAAGCTTTCTTAATGAATAAAAAAATATTTGGTTCCACCAGGTTTCCCAGATTTCCCGAAAAAAAATAAAAAATTAGACAATTGACTCTAAGGCAGAAATATCACTCAGTGTGTTTTATCGGATTGTAAAAATCATAGCTCTGTTATCCTGGGTTAGTTTTCCATAAAATTTCAGTATGTTGAAGCTAAAAGCTTCTTTTATAAATAAAAAAATATATAAACCCTCCAAGTTTCCCAGATTTCTAGAAAAAAAAAATCAAAAATTAGACCATTGAGTCTAAGGCAGAAATATCACTCAGTGTGTTTATCGGATTGTAAAAATCATAGCTCCGTTTTGTTGGGCTATTTTTCCATGAACTTTTAGTAATTTGAAGCTGAAAGCTTCTCTAATAATTAAAAAAATATTTAGTTCCACCAGGGTTCCCAGATTTCCAGGAAAAAAATCAAAAATAAGACCATTCTGTTCGACCGACCATAGGTGATGAAAGTTTGCTGAAGAGACCTTTGTGCCACACCTGATCAAAAGCTTGGGAGATGTCCAATGTTACAGTTCTGGATTCGCCATGTTTTTCGGGAGTCAAGTTCCAAATATGACTGACATATGCCAGATCCCCTACTGTTGATCTTCTAGGGCTTCGAGGTATTCAATCAGTTCCAGGTTGACTGCCTTTTCCATTACTTTCGGAAACACGAATACAAGTTAGATGGAACGATAATTCCTAGGAAAGATGGAACTGTGGGAAAAGGGAAACAGTTTCCCAATAATTTGGGTCCAAATACAACGTTGTCCATGTAAAAACCAATGTAAATTGTTTGTCAAAGAAATCTGCTTTAATATGATTTTAGTTTGGAAAAATGACTTGCTAGCAGTAGTGAGGCAAAGAATTTCAATATTAAACTTTGCTAATCATCAATAAAATTACAAAATATGTTTGGAGCTGGAACTTTTGCACATATAGAAAAAGAGTCTGCGCATTTTTGAGAGGATGACATTATAATATGCATATCAATAATTTTGAACTTATAAGATTTGTTCTTGTCTGCAAGAGGCTTATTCGTGAATGACAAAGCAATTTTTGTTTTTAATCTCGAGGCTCGTCTGTCAATATTTTAACTGAAATATAATACCGGTCGTTCGGTAACTTAATACTTTTCTACATGGCACCTATAATTTGATTCATTGTTTTGTTAATTGCTGCAATGAAGTAGTGGCCAGAATAATAATTATCTATACCGCTTAGAATGGAATGCGGGATGGCGTAAGAAAAATTGTTTAAATAATTTCAAGAAGCCACCTTACCGTTGATATTCATCTTCTTCTTGTCGATTCTCCATCATATCCTTCTTCATCTCAATGTGTTTCTTATGGCACCGTTTCCTTAACCTGGAATAATTCATCCAACTAAACGTCACCGGTAACTTTTTATTATCTAACGAGTTCACAGTTATATTGGCGCTAATCACTAATCGATTCAGTTCGTTTTTAAAATTACTCAGGAAACTTTTGACGCGCTCTTTCTGATGACCGAACTCACAATCAACGATTGACTCGTTTTCGTCGTAGATCAGCTCAATGAGGTGTTTGCCGTCGCTGAGTTGTCTGAACGAGAGTCGATTTGTAGACCTGGAACAAGGAAAAATTTGATCAGACATATTACTAACATATATTTTCGCACTTATCAAAGAATCATCAGAAGCATGACATTATGACCTGGCAATAATTATAAAATTCCAAACAGGTAGTTGTCACGAATCGCATATTTAAATAATGTGAAATATGTGTCAGTGATGGGTAGGGCCCTCCATAATTACACAAATCAAAATAATCGGTTATGCGCATCATCCATCATTCACGTACTTATATGACTGTCTTTCAATTCGAAAAAGGACTTGAGTATTTGTGGATTTTGTAATTGCATTTTTGTTTAACCAACATACTCAATACATAATTAGCCACAAGCCTGATTATCATAAGAATAGCTTTAAATGACTATTATTTCTGGGTAGTAGTAGTACCATGTAGAAAGGTGTTTAGATAAGAAGACTTTTACATTTAGCCCACACGCGTCTTGTAGCGATAGCCAATAATTATTGCTAATGAAAGCACGGGTCATTACAAACTAGAACACAAAAGAAATGTGTGGACCACACTGAAGGCGAAAGGGTGAATGGTGAGACTATTCTTGTGTACACGACAATTAATTGTTGTCCAAAATACAACTTCTAATTTGTACAGATGATAAATCGTGATTCTAGTATTAAATATCGACCCAAATAGGCCTTGACAACAATAAAAAAAAGCTGGAATCTTCAAAGCAAAGTTGGATATCACGACCAACGTATTAAGCTTGTTGATAACATCAAGAGTTGGTGGAAGAAGATTAGTGGTTGTTACCTTAACGGATTTTATTGTCTCCCATCTATTATTGAAGCTTTTTAAATATACCAAATCCACAATTTAACTATAATTATTTCAGCAAGGTCCGAGGTGTGCCGATAACAATCTCGAGTCGTAACTGGTACAAAGGCAATTTAGCTCACCCAAAAACAGAAGAGGTTAGTTAGATTACATTATGCCATTCTAGTAGAAAATGGTTTTAACATATTATGCGGGGGCGCATATGGTATCTAAATGGCGCTAAAACGACGTCTATATTACAATGTTACATTCTGTAACAGCCAAGTGTGTTTTCTCTTTGGGCTGTGGTTATTCGATATCTTTTATTGTTCTCGAGTAGTCAGAAAATATTCTATAGTTTAAATAAAACAACAGGGAAATTAATACTTCACATTGAAACAAACTGCAAGGTTAATATTGAAGGTTATTGTTAACATGCAAAGTAGATTCGATCATCAATCAGCGTGTCTCATTATTGACTCTTGAATTTTGATTTGTTAGAAATCTAGAGATTTTAGAAGCATTGGAAAGAAGAGGTTGTCAATTTAAAATATACTGTGACTTTCCAAATAAGTGGAAAATATCAAAATTCGAAGTTGCTTCTACAGAAGGCTTAAAGCCTTATTATTTCAGAATCTGGAAACTTATCATAATTACATACCAAATCAAATTTACTAAAAATTGAAAATGATAATGAAGACAAGAAAGAAAAGAAGATCAAACCATCTGGATCAGAAATCCAGATTGACATTAGCCAAGAAGATTATGAAGAATTTTACAAATCTCTAAATTAGCTCTCAGCCTTTTTTCAATAATAATAAGTCTAGTCTCAAAAAATGAAGGTCCTCGCACGCTTCCTCCTACCCAGACCATCATCGTCGTAGACCACAATGGGCCCTAAACATTCCTTTCAGGATCCTCCACAGAACCGGATGACAATTGAAAAAGATTAATTATCGTATTATTTCACCCCTTTCGACTCGGGGATAAGGGTATCAAATGACTTTTGTATCCGGCCCCAGGGCTGCGCCCCCTTTTAAACAACTTAATTCGAGGTGCACTTGCTTTCACGGACACGGTGTAAACTCTGTCCGGGGGGGTTGAGTTACTCTACTCTACGAGATTCCTAGTTTTATTTGGAATAAATAAAGCACATAAATATTTGTGTTCGTTTTAGTGACATGGATTTTTGTGCCAAAGAAAAATGAATTCGAATTCGAAAAGTACAGGGTGTTTTTTTATATTTTATATATTGACACCCCACCCCACACCCCACCTACAACCTTTACCTTTACAGACAGAAGAAACGTGTTAATACACTGTACTTGAACAATAACTTATTATAAAGTCAGAATTTGTAAGATTATCCACTTTTTGTCAATTTGCCTTTTAACAGGAATTAGTAATGTTACTTTACCAAACTAGTAACATAATGTGATAAGTTATTCAAGTACAAACGAGTGGATTGTTGCGGAATTTATGGGTGGACCTCTGCGGGACGAGCGCAGCGAGTTCCGCAGCCATCTAATCATCAATATGTTGTTTAATTTCGAACTAACCTGACTCACTCAAATGTGAGTTATTCTCATTAGTTTAAAAAGTTTCAGGTGAATATCTTACTTGAACAGTTCAACAGTATATTGATGAGTAGATGGCTGCGGAACTCGCTGAATAAGTTCCGCAACAATCCACTTATTTATATTTGAACAATAAGTGATTACATAAAGTCAGAATTTGTAAAATTATCCACTTTTTGTCAATTTGCTTTTTAACAGGAATTAGTAATGTTACTTTACCAAACTAGTAATATATTGTGACAAGCTCGGTGACAAGTTATTCAAGTACAAACGAGTGGATTGTTGCGGAACTTATGGGTGGACCCAGCCATCTATTCACCAATATGTTGCTCAAGTACAATATTAACTTGATTCATTCAGTTGTGAATATTTCTCATTAGTTCAAAAACTACACGTTTCAGGTGAGTGTCTTATTTGAACAGTTCAACAGTATATTGCTGAGTAGATGGCTGCGGAACTCGCTGTGCTCGTCCCGCAGAGGTCCACCTATAAGTTCCGCAACAATTCACTTATTTGTACTTGAACAATAACTTATTATATAAAGTCAGAATTTGTAAAATTATCCACTTTTTGTCAATTTGCCTTTTAACAGGAATTAGTAATGTTACTTTACCAAACTAGTAATAATAGTTTTGGAATCAGGAAATTGTACTCTTCAAGAATATAGAACCAAATATAGTCCATCCCATTTGAAAAAAGCTGAAAGCATGCAATATTTCACATTTCTGACATTCAATTTTTGTTTCTGACCATGGAATCCAAAAAGTTAGCCAGTACTGTACAACTTTTGTATTTACAACTTTCATCTGTAGGTGGGGTGTCAATATATAAAAAAACACCCTGTACATCATCATACTATTACGAAATCACATTGACAACTTGGCCAGAATTCTTAGAGTCCAGTTGTTTACGTCTATTTCGCGAATGTTATTGTATTATTAAAACTAGACTTCCAAATGTCGTCTATAAATAGCAAGTTAGTTTAAATAGAAAATGTGCACGTGATAAGTAAATTTCTATGAAGGTAATTTGAGCTTTAGTGAACCCGGAATCCATGATAGTAACCACCAGTACAACTCCTTTGATATTTGATTTGCATGCCCGAAAAGAGAACTCACAGATAAAGAAAAACTACAAATCTTCCCAATCAAATATCATGAACTTATCAACTTGATTGTGGATGCATCAACTGCGTTTTGTGAAATTGAATAACAGAATGAGGGAGAAATTTCTTCAACTAAAACTACAACTTATGTCAATGATGTCACTATGGGTGTGAGTGTAGATTTTAAAAATACCTATTCTCCATTTTTTTCCCAGAATAGTTGAAATGACAAAGTCATCCCTTGAATATTAAAATGCTTTCGTAAGACGTAACATAAGAGAATCCGAATATTAAAATATTATTGTATGTAAATGAGGCATCAAAAACCAAAGAATATAAAGGGTGAAGAAGATGACACCCTGTTTATTTAGTACCAGAGGGTTTGAAAAATATATATTGATGAGCATTATACATATATTCTCTATAAAATACACATGAGAATACAAAACCTAATTATTTATTTAGGTCTTATTCTAAAATAGTCATTCAATGCTGCCAGAATTAAATTCAACACGCACTCGTTTTAATGTTTGTTATGATTTAATGTGTTAATTAAAATAAACTATTATTTGAGCCCATAAATACATAAGATATTTTCGTCTATAGGATTTCGCGGAAAATCATTGTTCTATTTATTTTAATGGAAATTGAACCTCGTAAATCGTTGAACTTTTGTATAGTTTGAGCTGATTTAACAAACATTTATTGTTTTTTGAAAGTCAAAAGTATTAAAAAAGGTCCAAAACAAACAATGCGTAGGCTCAATATAAGAATGATTTATTTAGCATATACAGTTTGGACACGGTATTGGCAACGACGTGTATATAAAATAATATACACAAGTCTGTATCAGTGTGTTGTGTGTGGGTAGCTTTTTCTAAGACTCTATATCATCTTTGTAACGCCTTTATTGTGAACGGCGTATCTAATTCAGCATATCTAAATAGGCCTTGTGTGTTCATTTTTTGCGATTAATAAATTTATTAAAACCAAAAATGAGTCACTTAAGGAGCCGTTTTTGATCTGTCAACCCTGACACCCCCATTCTACGGTTCCCCTTTTATTTCTCTACTTAATCTGTGCGCAATGCAATGTAACTAATTCGGTTAGCGGTGTAAAGGAAAAGAACATGGCAATACAAAGTGATAAATAATGTGTGTTTGGTTTGATGGAATGGATTGGGGTGAGGGTAAGAAAGTCTTGCTTTCTAAGCTTGTCTGTAACAGATCTTTGTCGAAGATATACTATGAAATTTAAAAAAAAAAAAAAACATGCTTTGGAATGGATCATCATCATCAAATTCCCTACATGGAGATTTACCCTTCTTCTTTTTCTTAGTTTCTTATGGCCCCTTGTCAGCCAGAATTCCAACAATTGTATCCTCAAGACAGCAGAATTCCAATCTTTTGGCGTTTTCAAAATAGGATCAGATAAGTAATTTTAGCTGTGGCGTTTTCAGCTGGGAAATTGGAGCGCCAAGAAAATAGGACATTCGTTGAGTACCTAGTAGAAAATATTTTTCTATTAGTTTTCAATTTCAATTA